GGATAAAGTTTTATACTTTCTAGAAGCATAGACCAAGTATTCTGGAAGAGTCAAGAGATATTTGAACTAATTTCCTCATGTTTTTCAGAAGCAGAAACAGGTCCAGAGAAGCGAAGAAACTCCCCTGAGTTGACAAAGTGTTTAGAAGCAGAGGCAGAGCTAGAACCCAGTTCTGAGTCCCAGACTAACATGTTTTTCAGTGTTGTATGAGGCCTCCTACTGGGACACGTCTTTCCCTAAGTGACATGACAGACAGGGTAGAAGAGTTTAATAGGCAAGAACTCTAGCTCCAGAGTCAGACAGTTCTGGGTCCAAATTCCTGCTCTGATATTGGTGATTTTGGGCAAGTTATCAATAAGCTTTGGTTTCTCTGTTTCTTTTTTTGTTGTTGTTGAGATGGAATCTTGCTCTGTCACCCAGACTGGAGTACAAGGGTATGATCTTAGTCCACTGAAACCTCCGCTTCCCGGGTTCAAGCAATTCTCCTGCCTCAGCCTCCCAAGTAACTGGGATTACAGGTGTGCACCACCACACCTGGCTAATGTTTATATTTTTAGTAGAGATGGGGTTTCATCACGTTGGACAGGTTGGTCTCAAACTCCTGACCTAATGATCCACCTGCCTTGGCCTCCCAAAGTGCTGGGATTACAGGCATGAGCCACCACGCCCAGATGGTTTATTTATGGAGTGAATAACAGTACCTCTGGAACTAATAACAGTACCTCCAATGTCTGACTATATTGTGGATTGAGTAGTGCTTATAAAGCATGACTGACTCACCACATCTCACCCCCTGCACGGCTACCACTCTGGTTGAAGCCCCTGTCATCATGGGCTTGGAGGTGGGCTATTTTTTTGGGTCTGCTTTCACCCTAGAAATAGCATCTGAGTGAAGCTTCTTGTGTAATTGATTTATTAAGTAAGAGGTGTAGGAGAACCTTGTATGGAAGTGCAGGAGTTGGGAGTGGGCAATGAAAGGGTTCAGCACAGACATGGTTTCCGCTGGAGAGCAGCTGCAATCTGATTCCATGGACAGTCTGAAGCACGAATGGCCCTACAGAGCTGGTCCCTCCTTGTGGCAAAGGGGCTGGGTGTTCTACTTCCAGTTAGTTGGGGGCGTGTGACTCCTAGGCATTTCCCTGTGAGATGGTTCCCAACTATCCACAAAGGTAATACTCGGGCAAAGAGCGCATTGCTCATGGCAGCTTGTGGGTGGGTGCGTTGGCTAAGACCGCAAAGAGATCTTGGGCGTGGCCCCAGTTTGCTGCTAGCACATCTTTAAACACTCATGAATTTCTCTTTCTAACAAAGGGAGGACAAATATGAGACAATGGAGTCTACCTAGCCTTAACCGAATTAAGACTACAGTTGTTTTGATTGCCCCTGCATTTTCATGGCAAAAATTATACTGCATTTCTACTTGATAGTGATACAAAATTTCATTTGGAAACGAGTGCATTTACATTAAATGACTGGGTTGATTTAAAGATATTTTAGTCAACGAAGGCATAGGTGGTACGTGAATAAAGCAAACAAAATACAGGGCCCTCCAGAATATTGGAGCTTGAGGGAGACCATGTTTGCACACAGAACAAAAAAGATCCAAGATCCCAGATTGAAGCAGGGAATTTATCTTTCATTCTCAGTGGTCCTGGACCACTCATTGCATTAGGGGAGAAAGTGCTGTACCAAGAGGACCTGCTGTGTGGTCTGAGCAAATCATTTATGTTCCAGTTATTCATGGGTTCCAATCAGCCCATGTGGGAACTAAAGAGGATTATATTGGTTGCTAGTATCAGAAACACAAATAAGCTTCTTCAGGAAGGGGCCTTATTGGTTCTTGTCACTGTGAAGTTCTGGGATAAGACAGCTTCAGTCCTGGTTGGATCCAGGGATTTCAAGCATCTTCCCTCTCCTACCTAAAGCCCCAGAATTGAGTCTGGCAAGCTTCAGACAAGTGGAAGATTATGATTGGCTAGGCCTTGGTGATGTGTCCACAGGTGGGTGGAAGATTCTGATTGGCCAGTCCTTGGTCATGTGCCCACAGGTGGATGGAAGGTTCTTATTGGCCAGGCTTTGGTCATGTGCCCATAGTGGCTGGGCAATATAAAGGGTGGGAGAGCAGGTAGGGTCAGCCCTTTCAAACCTTGTGGGTTGGAGTGGGTTGGAAGAGGATGGTGCTTCTCAATGGAGAACCACCATGCTCTTATCAGATGAAGGAATGAATACCTAAGTAAGAGATGTTGTATCCACCAGAGAACTTTCTGTACTATTGTTTCCAGCTCTGTCTTTTGCAGCTGTACTCTGTGCTGACCCCTGATGTTTGTAGAGGAGGTCGAGGCCCTCTCAGGGAGCTCTTCTTGTTTTCTAGTGTCTGGTCAGGAATTGCACCTTCTTACTCCCATTCTTACCAGGAGAAACCTGCTGCTCATCCGCCTCTGCCTAAAACCCTCTACTTCCGTTTGCAAACAAACCCCTGATTTTGGCATTGAGAGTCAGGGCTCCTTTGAGCCTGCTACTCCTCTTACTAGCTGGGCATCTGAAGGCTCTAGATCTCAGCGTCTTCATGTATAAAAGAGAATCATAGTTGTGCTGCCTCCTAGGGCTGTGGTGAGATTTACATGTTACTACAAGAAAAACACTTCATGCCTGGCTGCTCATAATTCCATAGATGTGGCCTGTAATTGTAGCCATGGAATAGGAGGCCCCACACAATCTGTTGTTCACTCTGTCTTCAGCCTCCTGTCTATCCCTCTTCCTAATTCCCTGACCTCCCCAGCCTTATTGCACTCCTCCCCATGACCTGAGCATACCTTTTTTTCTTCCCTCCACATTTGCTCATGCTCTTCCCTCTGCCTACAATGCCATTTCTTCCCTAGCACCTTAAGACCTGGCTCATGTCCTCTTTTCTCTGGGAAACCTCCCCCAGCCACCGTCATTATGACCTGCCATCCCCACTCTAAGGCTAAGGAATGATTCCCCTTCTTTCATCTTTCCCCAGCACTCAGTGGTATTCATTTATTATAGCACACCTCAGTGTGTATTTCTGTGGTGGTTTTGGGGGTCCGTCTCCACGCACAGGTATGAGTTTGCTGTGGGCAGGGATGGGTGTTCATTTTGCTGCTATGCATTCTTGGCACGGAGTCCCACACGTAGTAAAATGCTCAGAACTTGTTGGGTGAATGAATGAATAGCCTGTGTACTTGTCTGCTTGAAAGCCAGGACTATGTCCAACTTAATCTTTGTTTCCCCAATGCCTGGCACCCAGTAGGCATTCACTAAATTATCCTTGCACGTGATTGAACGATTGATAAGGCAGATGCGTGCAGGTAGGTGAAGCAAAGAAAGGTACGAATGACCCAGGAGAAGGAGAATTTGGACAATGAGATCAGGACCCAAGATGTGGTTCCAAACTCTGTGAGGGGAGCTGGACCAGGGAGCTGGGGGAGTATTTCACAGGCTTATCTGTTAATAACAAAAATGAAATTATATGAAAAATACAACAATGTGTGGGTTGCAGGACAAGTTAATGATTTCTCATGTAGTCAAATATGTGTCCCTTTAGTGGAGGCTGGTAATGGTGGTGGTAATAACACCCTGGATCTGTTTATAGCGTCTTTCTTCTGAGGAGCTCAAGGCACTCTCTATTCTTATCTCATCTCTCTTTCTGACTTCCCAGGGAAGTTGGTCTGATTATCCCCATTTCTCAGGTGCCTATGTGCTGTGACTCACACCGCACCTCTGGAGCTCATCCCTTTGTCCCCCAGCCTGGGTGGGGCCCACATGACTCCCTGCTCTCTGAGCACTGCACCTGGAGCACCCTTACTTCCTGGATGACCAAGAAGGCCTGGCTCACTGTAAAGGGTGCTCTGAACTGCCAGTCTATGGGAGCCAACCACACCACGGAAAGCAGAGGGGCAGGGGATGTGAAGAGAGGAGGGAGGTGGAGGAGGAAGGACCTGAGGGCAGGGGAGGGATGAAAGGTCTGGAGGACTCAGAACACTAGACTGTGCATCCTGAGGGCAGGGGCCATGTCCTGTTTGCCTTCCTATCCATAGGATGAAGCCTAGTGCATGACATGGCGTAGGTACATAGACCAGATACGTGGATGGTCAGATGACAGGTGGACATGCCATTGTATTTTTTAAGACCCAATTCAAAGATCACCTCTTTGAGAAGCTTTCCTTGGCCCTTCCCTTAGGCTACCAACATACCACTGCTGGACTCATCACCCTTGGGGCCTCTGTTTTTTCTCCTCCTCAGGCAGCTTTGTGGGAGAGTTAACTAACTATGTGTCAGATGCTCCATTTGGGTGTCGGTTCCTGGACCAGGCATGAGTCTAATTTGTCTCATGTATTTAGGGTCTGTTAGCACAGGACATCTCACATAGTAAGGGTGGGCAGAGAGAGGTATAGGAAAGGCTGGGGTTTGAAGTCAGAAAGACCCAGATTCCTATGCAGGTTCTGCCTCTTACCACACAGGGTTCCAGTGTTGCTCAGGAAATCCCTTAGCCTCTTTGAGCATGTGCTGCTTTCCCCCTTCCTCATGATAAAACAGAGCTAAGAAAACCCACTTTGCTGGGTGTGGCAAGGCTCACCATGGTGGCACTGCTTGGCACCTTGAACGGGCTCGGTATTCATTTCCTATGATTAATTATAGATTTGGTGGTTTCCAGCACTGGCTTGGCATCAGAACCGCCCTTCTCGGGAATAGACATACTTGGAACCCCCTGGGAAATTCTGAGCCTGTGGGTTTGGGGTGGGGCCAGGATTTGTCTGTTGAAAAGGGTCCTTAGTTATTCTGATGTTGGAGGGTCTCAATGTTTGTAAAATCAAACATATGGTTGAATGTAAGGCAGAACATAAGTCCTTGATTTCTCTGATTTCTAGGGTTTAGTGAAGGGACAGAATAAGCTCCTTGGTAAAATCACCTCTTCTAGGGGGCATGCTTGGGGGGTCCAAAAGCTCAAAGCACTTTCTCTTCTTATCTCATCTCTGCAGGTCCACCCTTGCCCGTGGAAGCAGATGGAATGGAGAGGAATTTCACCCTGGCCTCCTTCACACTAGCCCCGTGACTCAAGTAAGCTGGCTACCTTCTCCGCACTTCATCTCATCACCTTGTTCAGTAGGCATTCTCCGTGTTTTACATTTGCAGACCAGATTTGGGTGGCATAAGGGCTCTGTGGACTCCATGAACATCAGTCAAGGGGGTCGCGAGGTATTGCTTGCCTTTGCTAGAATTTCTCAAGTTTACAAAGAATTAGAGATAGAAATGCAAATTTATAACCATTTAGAACTCCAGCTGGCATCTGACAGACCCCTAAGGGACATCTATGCAGACTGGGGTGCCCGCCAGGCCTTCTTTCTGAATCAGGGATCTAGAAATCTCCAGTCGTTGAAAGGCAGAGTCTGTATAGGTCAAGGGGTGGGCAATGCAGAAGGAGCCCAGGTTGTGGGCCGGGTTCCAGGCTGGACTTGCAGCTGGCTTGCTGTGTGACTCTGTATGGGCCAGAGAGCCTCCCCAGACCTTGCTTTGACATATGAACTGAAATTGTTTCTCGAAGTCTTATGATCCTGAAAAGGAATTTGATGTAGTAGAGAAAGGAATTTGTCCCAAGCAGGAGAGCAGTAAATTGTCAACAATGGAAGGTTGGAAAGGCCAGTGTCCATAGTACCAGGTGGGAGTCATGGACCACTGGGGCTGCTGAGTTTGGACGTGAGGCTTGTAGGAGACCTTAGCATCACAGAATTGAAAGTGGTAGCAGTGAATGGGGAGTGGGGAGTACACAGTGTGAGGCATTTTCTCACATACTATTTTCTTTAGTTTACATGAAATCCTAAGAGATATTATTGTGTCATTAGTCAACATTCATAGTGACCAAACCATTGTACAGGTGAGAAAACTGAGGCTCAGAGAGGTGCAGGTCCCCAGAGTCACATGGTAATTTGGTGGTGCCAGGATTTGAATCCACATCTGTCTGACTCTATCACCACCCCACTGCAGTTGACTTGGGGCAAGACGGGTATCTCAAAGCATTTGGGTTTATTTAGATTCTTTCTGGAGTGGTTCTCTAGATGTTTTCTCCAGGTGAGGCAGGTGCCTTCCCTTTCCTGGGAACAGGCCACTCTCAGTGTTTGGGAAGGGAGGGGCTTCAACACGTGATGGGGTCAAAGACATCGGGTGCTCTCCCCTGTCATTCCCAGTGGGAAATGAATCTCCTTCTCAGGAACCTAAGCCAGAGCTGGAAGTCGTGCCTCTGCAGACAGGATTTCAGGTGATGGCCCTGAACAGGTGATTGTTTTGCAACTAGTTAGGGAGGGTGGACAGATCTTGAAGTATCAGAAGGCACAGATTTCCAGACCAGGTATCACTCAGGAGATTCAAAGGGCAGGATTGCATAAGAATAACCTCTACTTGGGCCCAGAAAACAAGAAAGTCAGCTTCTTTTCCGTGTACTGTGAGTGAGTCACCTTTCCCAGAAGTCAGGCCGATCTCTGGTTCCTCCTGCAGGCTCAGAGTGGCCTGGCCAGGGTGGAGCAGAGAAGGGAAGGTGAGGAGCCAGTGACAACTGCGTCACACTTCATCTTTTCCATCTCCATAGGGAGCATCGAGCTTGTGCATTAGATTGGGTAAGAGCCCGTCACACATGCCTGACCCTCCCCACCCCGTCCACCTGTCACAAGGTCACAGCTGGGTACCGAGACTGGCTTGGGGCAGATCACTGTGCCTATGGCACAGAATGGGGGTGTGTGTATAAATGCCTTGGAAGCCATGGCACAATCTGAGGGGCAGACAAGCTTTTTGTTCCCCAGTCTCGTCTTTCCTGCTTGGTGTAGACAGGCTTCAAAGTCAGACATCTGGGTTCCAATCTGAGCTCTCCCCCTTTATTCCCTCCTCCCCAGCCCTTGGATCTCATACTTACAGAGCAACCTGGACAGGTCATTCCCACCTGCTTGAGCCTTAGTTTTCTCATCTGTGTAATGGGGATAACATTACCCACCTTTCAGAGTTGTGAATTATTAAGAAGGTTAAATAGAAGAGGGCTAGGAAGGTAGGGTCTATCATCTGGCAGCCTGGCTTTATTTTTATTTATTTAATTTTTTATTTTTTTGAGATGGAGTCTTGCTCTGTTACCCAGGCTAGAGTGCAGTGGTGTGATCTTAGCTCACTGCAACCTCTGCCTTCCATGTTCAAGCAATTCTCATGCCTCAGCCTCTAGAGTAGCTGGGGCTACAGGTGCCTGCCACCACACCCAGCTAATTTTTGTGTTTTTAGTAGAGACTGGGTTTTGCCATCTTGGCCCAACTGGTCTCAAACTCCTGGTCTTAAGTGATCTGCCCACCTTGGCCTCCCAAAGTGTTGGGATTACAGGCATGAGCCACTGTGCGCAGCCAAGGCAGCCCGGCTTTAAACCATAGCCTTGTGTTCCATCACTAACCGTCTGGCTAATCCTACCCCTCCTGACTTCAGGCTGATCAGTTATAAAGTACAACCCCCTCATGGAACTGCTGTAAGGGTCAAATAAGATATTGCTCTTGGCCTGTATAAGGCACCCAGCAAAAGTGTTAATTGTCTTCTCCATTCAGCCTCATTTCCTCATGATTTTGCTGAGAAAAGAGAGTTGGATCTGAAGATGTCAAATTATTCCGGAGATTGATCTTTCCTCGGTTCCTAGTTTATGAAATGGGATAAGAATAGCATATATCTCATAAAGTTGTTGCGAGGCTAATTGAGTTGATATGAGGACCAGGAAGTGTCCCATAAACGTCAGCTTCATGGCTGGCTATATATAGTTCTTCTTTCTGCTGGTGATGCAGCGCTGGCTGATGCCTTGGCCTGAGTGATCGGGGCTGAGGTGACTCACCCTGCAGTGACAGGTCTGGGTAGTGGCGAGCAAAGCTGCGTAGGCAGGGGCAGCCAGGTCCTTACTGTGCCCCAGGGAACAGCTTGGACATTACTTTCTAATAGAGCTTGCCTTTGGTCTTGGCCAGTTCCAGAGAAGGCTGGAAAAAGGAATGCCTGTTACCATCAGGCCAGAGGGAAATCGAATGCTCCTACATTTTGTCATGGCTGAGGAAGCAGATGAGGACCACAGCAGAGCAGGTAGGGGTCTTTTAGTGGATGATGACCACCTAGGAGGCCACAGCTGGATGGCATCTTGGGAGATATCCCAACTCCATTGCGTGGGGCAGTAGGCACTGGGCAGATGCTGTAGACCCTGCTCATGGCCAAGGCAGACAAGATGTGTTTTCTTTTAGGGAGCTGACAGAGAGTGGGTTCCATTGCCCCAAAGAGTCCAGCACTCTTTCCATGACATCATGTGTGCCCAGAGTCAGGGACCCCTGCCCTGGGAGCTCACCATCAACTCATGACAGGTAGCCAGCTGGATGCTCAGGGACCACAGAGGAAGAAGAGAGATTCAGAGAAAGTTTGTGGAAGAGGCAACATGTAAGCCAGGCTTTTTAGGAGGAGATGAGGAAGAAAGTCATTGTCCTCACTTCCTCATCCCCACCTCATGTCTCCACCTCTACCAGCTGCAATCTAGCTTCCCTTACACATGGAACTACTCTTGTCAGGGTCATCAGTGACCTTCTGTGGTCAATCCAGAGGGCGCATCATGGTCCTGCTCTTAACTAATATGGGGGAGTCACACTTGACGCTGTAGCTCACTTCTCCCTGGACTCCTGGTTCTGCCCTTAACTAACATGGGGGTCACATTTGACGCTGTAGCTCACTTCTCCCTGGACTCCTGGTTCTGCTCTTAACTAACGTGGGGGTCACATTTGACGCTGTAGCTCACTTCTCCCTGGACTCCTGGTTCTGCTCTTAACTAACGTGGGGGTCACATTTGACGCTGTAGCTCACTTCTCCCTGGACTCCTGGTTCTGCTCTTAACTAACGTGGGGGTCACATTTGATGCTGTAGCTCACTTCTCCCTGGACTCCTGGTTCTGCCCTTAACTAACGTGGGGGTCACACTTGACGCTGTAGCTCACTTCTCCCTGGACTCCTGGTTCTGCCCTTAACTAACGTGGGGGTCACATTTGACGCTGTAGCTCACTTCTCCCTGGACTCCTGGTTCTGCCCTTAACTAACGTGGGGGTCACATTTGATGCTGTAGCTCACTTCTCCCTGGACTCCTGGTTCTGCCCTTAACTAACGTGGGGGTCACATTTGACGCTGTAGCTCACTTCTCCCTGGACTCCTGGTTCTGCCCTTAACTAACGTGGGGGTCACACTTGACGCTGTAGCTCACTTCTCCCTGGACTCCTGGTTCTGCCCTTAACTAACGTGGGGGTCACACTTGACGCTGTAGCTCACTTCTCCCTGGACTCCTGGTTCTGCCCTTAACTAACGTGGGGGTCACATTTGACGTTGTAGCTCACTTCTCCCTGGACTCCTGGTTCTGCCCTTAACTAACGTGGGGGTCACATTTGACGCTGTAGCTCACTTCTCCCTGGACTCCTGGTTCTGCTCTTGCCTCCTTAGACGTTCCTCCTTAGTTTCCCTTGTGATCTCTTCTTTCTCTGTTACCTATCATTTATCCATCTGCCCACGCATCCATTCATCCACTTATCTATTGATCTACATACCTGTCTGTCTGTCCGTCCATCCATCAATCCACCTACCCACCCATTCACTTATTCTATCTATCTATCATCTATCTATCTATCTATCTATCTATCTATCTATCTATCTATCTATCTATCTGTCTGTCTGTCTGTCTGTCTGTCTGTCTGTCTGTCTGTCTATCTATCTATCTATCTATCTATCTATCTATCTATCTATCTATCTGTCAGTCTGTCTGCCTGCCTGCCTGCCTGCTTTTGTAATTAAGGAGAATTTAATGAAGGTGCTACTTATAAAAGTGTGGTAGAATTAAGGGAATCTAACAAGAGATAGTGCAGCACTCCAGGACTGACCATATTAGAAAGTCATTTGCAGCCCTAGGCCTGAAGATCAAGTGGCTTTCAGAACCCAGAGCATGAAGCTATAAGAGGGCTTACTGTTGGGAGCTGGGTCCTTCAGCCTGGGGACACAGCCAACGAGCGGTGTAAATACCGCACTCGACTCTCCTCC